CCCCCTGAGCCCACCCTGGGGACCCTCACCGCAGTGTCCCGAGGGGCTTGGGACCTCCCCTGGGATGCGGGGACCCTCTGCTCAGCCTGCCCTGGGTGCACAGGGCTCCAGGGGGTGCTGCCAGCTCGGTGGCACGGTGTCCTGTGCCCGCTGCCCCCCTCATCACCCTCCTTTTCCCCAGCCTCCAGCAGTGCCAGCGGGGCCGGGACGCAGCCAGGGAAGGTGACCCACGCCGGCACCCCCTGCCACCGCAGACGGGTGCTGGGGAGGGGGAGCCTGCCCAGCCCCCCCTGCAAGAGGCTGCCCATTTTCAGGCGTCATTAAAGAGCAATTAGCTGGAAATTAAGCTGAGAACAAGTATTGATTAGCTCATTAAGGCTGGGGGAGCCGGCTGTGGCAATAGGAATTGCTGCCGCCCGCCCTCATTATGTGCAAGGTTAAAGCTTGCGGTCGGGCAGCTCATTAAAAATGCCAGGAACCAATCGATGTCCCCGGCCCAGCGCCCCCCAGCACCCCTGGGGACACCCAGCCGCTGTTTTTCAGGGGCTGGCCTGTGACCTTTGGGATGAGCCAGCTTGGGAAGGGACTGAGCATCCTCGCTCCCCGGCATCCACTGCTGCATCCTGGACTCCCTCACAGAGGCAGCAGTGTTGCTTTTGGGCCTGTCAGCCCCCCAGAACTCACTGGCTGGGGTGTGTGTGTGTGTGATCTTTTTCTCCACCCCAACTAGGGGACCCATGGGTGCCCCCTTGCCCAGCAAAGTGACTGGTTTGCAGGGCTTAGGCCTGCTCCCCACCAGAGCTGAGTTTGTCAGGTCTCAGCCTAGCAGTGTCAGCTTCTGCAGGTAGGGGACACACCAAAGGGAATCTTAGGGATGGGATGAAAGCAACTGGGGACATGGGGACAGGTGAAAGACACCCAGTGGCTCTGTATGGCCGAGTGCTGCCATGCCATTCTGCCCTGCACCCCAGCCCCACAGCTTTGGGGGCTCTTGGGGTAAGCCCTCCCATCCCCATCTCTGACTCGTGGCCACCAGCAGCTCAGGGCCAGCTCCCAGCTGGCACATGCACGAGGGTGTCCCTGAGTAGGCTGGTGGTGCGGGGGAGGGAAGGTGTCATCATTATTTTTGTTTTCTTTGCACTGCCCTGGAAATATATTGTATTCTCAGCTAATCCCGTTCAATTACACCACAATAAAACACATAATAAAAACGTAATTCATTTTTCCCGAGCGCTCCATCTCCCTGTGTCTTGGCAAGCTATTAAAAATTTGTCTTCATTTTTCTGGCAAGAGCCTTGTACCTTTTCATCTTTAATTTATGAGACCAGAATAGCGACTGACAAGCCCTTATTGCACGGCGAGGGGCTGCATTATTTATAAGCTGCCAATGGCTGGCTCAGGGGAGATATTTGCAATATGCTGGGGCTGGAAGCAGGAGGGGGTACAGATCCCCAACGCACCTGTCCCAATCCGCTCTCCCACCCTAGATGGGTGCTGGGGTCCTCCTTGCTGCCCCTGTTGGTAGGGGAAGCACCTCCTGCCCACTGTGGCACAGGGTGTCTCTGGTGTGCTTGGTCCTTATCTCCCCAGACGCTGCTTCTGCCCGTCTTGGGCTTCGCAAGGACTCTGCCTCCTCCACCCCGGCTCGGCGTGCGGTTACCTGCATCCCTCCTCTCCCTGCACAGCCATCCATCGCTCCTTCTGACTGCCCTGGCCTGTGGGTGACACAGCG